TCGAGAGCAGAGTTTGAGCATGGATAGATGGGATACTACCTGAATGGGCCCCGAACGCCCACAACCCTAAAGCCTGAATCCGAAGCCTCAAATCTTCACACCTTTTTGGAGGGATCTTATAGTCATGAAGAGCTGGCTTCCAATAAGCTCTAAATCCCGACCACTTCCTCACTTGGCTTCGAGGCTTTGTTTTTTTGGAGGTTTTGCGTTCACGGGTTTGGTTTTTACGGGGTGTGTTCTGAAGCCTGCAAGCTCTGAGTATCGGATGGGGGGTATAGGTTGCCGGGTTTGAGGGCCCCAAGCCTGGCATCTGGAACCTCAAAACCGTTCCCTAAACGAACACAAGAGGTTTGATCAGGGTTGTGGGTTCCAGATACAGAATACAGGGTTGAGTGCCGGCCCTCGAAACCTCCATGCAGCCCTCATAAAGTCCTTATCAGACAGCCCGTCGGCAGGAGTTGGCAGAATTGACGGGCAGTTTGCAGCCACAAGCGCAGCCACAAGTGTTTTCTGAGGCTTTAAGTACCTAGACCTGCTTAAGCCTACGCCCTGAACCATCAGTTCTAAGTCCCAAGCCGCAGAAGCCCTTTTGAGATTCACGCCCTCAGTAGGTCTTTGAAGGGTCATTCTTGCAGATTTCTTCAGGTAGGAGTTCTCCATAAGAGGACATTCAAGGCTCGGGTTGAAGTTTAGGCTTCTGAGGGTTCAGGATTCAGAGTTTGGGAGTGAAATTCAGCTTCTGGACCCGAAGCTGGTGGCCAAAGCCTTTGAGTTGGTTGAATACGCTGGGCTTTTCTGGGCCATGGTTCAGATCACTGTTGTAGTTTCAAGCAAGTACGCGTAAGCCCTAGCCTCAGGCTTACACATTTTAGCCTAAACCAGCATCATGTCAAAGGACTGGACAAGCGCGTTTTATATGTTGAGCTGGTACGCTTAAAAAGGATTTCCAAAAAAAAGGGGTCAATGAGGATCATATGAGACGGGGACCACTATCTCTGGAAATATTTCGATCAGTGCAGATTGTCTTGTAAGCTGCGATGCTGCAGATATGTGACTGCTTGTTCTCAAAGAGGTGCGATGCTAGAAAGACTGGCTGGTGCTCAGCATAGCAGTGACACATGAACCTTGGAAGCAATGCCCAACATTGCTGTTATCACCTTATTACAATTCATGTTGCCAGTCTTACGGTTGGCCTGCATTCTTGCTCACAGATCTTTCTGAGCACCAGCGTAGAGTTTAAGTTTCACATGCAGCTTATCCACATGTCACCTCAGTTCCGGATCTCCAAGCGCCCTGCAAGGAAAATGCTTTGTCTGATGCATTGAGCATTCCACAGAACCATGAATTTCTCTGCAAGGTGCCTTCTGCCTTGCCTTCTGTAGGATGGGAGGTTCTGAAGGCCTCAAACCCTTCAGCCCAGTATGAAGAAACGTTAAAGTAGTTTTCCTCCTTTCGTTCTGAGCTAGGGTATTCTTGGAATGAAAAGGCCGTGTCTGTTCATCTTAGCAATGACCTCTTGGTCAGCTGGAGATGGAGATGATGCTGTCAATTCCTTTCTCTGATTGTAGTGCCCCTTTTGAGTCGCTGAGTGTACAAGTCCGAGTGATTTGGAGTGTTGCTTTGTGTGGGCTATTGTAAAAACTTCTGCAGTCCAAATGCAGCGTGCTCGCAAGAGATGATGTCGAGTTTCCTATGGAGCCATGGCTCCGAAAGTGTTTGGCAACTGAAAGCTCCGCTCAGTAGCCCGCCATGAACTGCGGCACGCGTGCAGAATTACAATTTGTTGGGCTTCATGGTTCGATTCTGCGAGAAGACTCTTGAGGGCCATGAATTGTAAAGCTACCCTGATGCCTAGACTCAAAACTGCAGCATACCCAGCAAGCCCTGAGCCGTGAACCTTTATAGAATATAATAATCTAATAGGAAGGTAATCCGATATAATATAAAGTACCATATAATGTGTCATACTACAATGATATAATCCGCCATACCTAAAGATCTGCTCCAGTGCCCAGGCCTGAAACCTCCTTACTTTGTGAATACGTGCCGTAGGCTTCAGGCACAGGTTAGACCCTCCGCTTTGAATCCTAAACCCCAAGGCCGACACCCTAAACTTCAAAGCTTCGGCCCAGGCAAACCATCAACCCCAAGCCCCGAACCCACACCCTGAGGCGCCAAGCCCTAAAAGCCAAGGCGATGACCTGAACTGCGGACACTCAGTGTTGGCCATCATGTGTTCTGATCGCGTCAGCTGTCCAAAGTCCGACTGCTTAACTCTCTGCTCCGACAACCCATCAGCCCTAGCCATAAATCCTGAATCCTAAACCCTAAATCCTAAGCCACCACGACCCAAAATCACAGGCTACGAACCACACTGGCGATTACAAGGTTTACTGTTCAGGTTTTACGAGAGCCCTCCAGCAATCGAATTGCTGAGCTGTGACTTTCAAATTCCCAAGGCCTTATGCGCTAAAACCTCGAATTCTGGAAAGCAGAGACCTAACCCACGGTATCCCACGGTTCGTAGCTGCGACGAGTTCGACCTTTTCCAAACAAAGCACTGTGCCACTCATGGGATGCGGGGGCTTCGAGGAAAGACCAAGAATCTTGAATGCACGGGATTTCTGAATAGATTTAGGGTCGAGGGTTTGATTCATTGTGGTTTCCCCACTGGCGGAGCATCAATTTGGCGTGAACTACCGTGCGCTTTAGGGTCAAGAGTCATCAGTCCTTACTTGGAGGGAAGTCACCGGCGAGATATCCAAGCAGGCTAACGCTGGATATAGCCTGAATCAGGGGCGCACATATCTTGTTACCGGAATCTCCAAGGAGGATTCAGTTCCTTTAGGGGCTGTGGGCCCCATTATGGTCTGAGGATTACTATGTCGTAGTTTCTGCAGGTAACCTCGGCCCAAAAAGGCCCACATGTTTATTAGTCATTTGCTCTTGCGAAGCTATCGTGTAATCTTCTTGAAGATTTAATGTTCAGCGGCTGATGTTGTTAGTACAGCATCTGACCACCAAAGCCTCAGCTTTGGGGCGTAGTGGGTTATGGTAAAGGGAATTGGGTGCTGGGTAAGTTGTCTTGCGTGTGTGGTAGAAGGCTGTCTACTTCAGAGCTTTGCATGCGGGAGTTTCTTGAGACTTGGTGCTCCTTAGGGACTCCCAAACAAAGGTCCCGGCTTGAAGGCTTCAGATTGGGAGGATGGCATGGACCCAGCCAGGGCTCACACCACACCAGAGAGAGTCCAATTGTTGACCACGTGGCTTTGTGCCATCATGCGAGACCCACATCGAGGAGCAAATTCTTGGGCTGCAGCACCGGATGCGTGTGAAGTCATGCCATGATTGGGAAAAGCTCATCCAAGGATCGGAATTGGGACGAGGAGGTTGCCGCTGGCATGTTAGCGCTTGTCAACACCTGCCAGGTTTGGGGCTTTCAGGTTTTGGGCTTAACCAAACCCAAGTAGGGTTTAGGGTTTGTAAGGCTCAACCGCAAGCGCTAAACCCAGGGCCCTAGGCCTTCCTTCTTGAAACCCCAAACTCCAGACTCAAAACAGGACAGATTGGGCTTCCAATAGGTTGAATGACCCAGCCTCATTCGTAACTTCCGCGAATGAACACACAATCCTTAACCTCAGGAGCTTAAAGCCACAAACCCAGAAGCCCTAAGCAAATAAGAGCTAGATCCTAGTTGATCTGTAAATCGGAGCTTTAGCCCCAAGCAAGACCTGAACCCGAAACCTTGAGCCAGAAGCCCAGAACCCTAAACCCTGCACCCTAAACTCGGAACCGTAAACCCCTTCTATGAATTTCTTAGCAAAGCTCAGGAAGAATGAAAATGAAGCTGCTGCACCTGAAGGCCACTCACTTGCAACGCAAGCAGTTGGGTTTAGCGTTCCTTCAACGGGGCTATAGAGGCTGCCCGGGAATATTGGGACGTCAGAGTCAACGGATGAGGGCTCAGCAGTTAGAGGATGGGGTTCAGGGTTCATGGTTTGGGGTGAGAGTTCGGGGCTAAGGTTTTGACCTCTTAGAAACATTCCATGAGACTCCCTGACTTTGACGCTGTGTAGGGTTTCACGCAGATTTGCCTTGCAGGCATTTGCACAGGTGGTCTGCTGAGGTGGTAGTTTAGGACGTAGGTTGTGCAAGATCTGTGTGTTAGGTTCAGGGTCTGGGGCATGGCTCAGGGTTTATGATGGCCCTTGAGATTTGGGGAACAAATTTCAGCTTCAAACCCAAAGCCAGAAACCCTCAATCCGAAACCGCCCGAAACACAGTATCAAATTGTCTCGTAGCATCTTAAGGACCGTGTAGATCGTATCAAAAGCTTTCTGTCCACATGGACTCCACGCTGTCAGTCCACATTTCAATGTTGTTGGAGTCAGCGAGGCCTTGGGTTTTAAGTGCAATTTTGCGGCTTTTTGTCTGTAGGGTTTTAGACCTTGGGGTGTTGGGGTATGGATTTTGGCACACTTTCCGTAACTGTGGTGTTGCCCTTCTCCAAACGACATGAAACCCCACACAGTCCACGGGTTTAAAGGGGCTGTCTAGCCTTCATGGGGCTCTTTTTGGGGTGGTTGGCGAGAGGTATGTTGAAGTTGAAAAAACTGTGTTTCCACGCCCTGGGCCTGCTTTTTTGATGAAGTGTCCACGCTATTCATATCCGAAACCCTAAGCCTCCTAACCTCTAGTCCAGTATTTATTCAATCACTAAGCCCTGGAACTTGAATTTAAGACCTCAGTGTAAGGCCTCGGGGCGTGTCGAGTCAACCGCGGGTCTATTGTTTCCAGACGAACCCTCTGCCGTTAAATTCGGCCGACCAACTGAGCACTAGACCCCGTTCCACCCAGCACTGACTTCGAAAGTCCTGACCTTGCGCCAGAGAGACTTGCTTGTTAGGTATAACGTAGAGTTCTGCGCATGACGTCGGCTTGGCGCAAGATTTTGCGCTCAAGTGAATTCTTTGTGAAAAGGACTGTGTCATAATCCTGCCATGGCCCGCGCCGTTCTGCTCTGGATGGCTTATGGAGCGCCAACTTTTGTTGGTGGATGGTGGGGTGGAGGTCGACCGATTTTGACCCCCCCCGCAGGTCCTGCTCTAAATTCCACCCAGAACGACACAAGCAAATCGTGGCAGGGCGTTCCGCCCCTCTCATTCTTCTCCTTCGGGAAAAGTACTCAGGGAGTTCCTCCCTCCCCACCCCCTCCCCCCCTTGGCGTTGCAGGGTCCCCGAATGGATCGGCTTCTTCCGCTACGGAGGGGGACTTGAGTTGGGGTTGGTGGAGCGTCTTGCTGTTGGTTGAGTGGGCGGTTGGTCGAGTGTTTTCCACTCGTACTCACCCCGGCTCTGCCTCTACGAGAGGAGGCTGGGCCGGGTATGTCATTGACCGGTCCGGTCTGTGGATGTTCGGAAATTTTTGGCCAGCCGTGGCCTGGAGTGTCTTAAGTGCCTTGGCTGTTGGCTCCCTCGGTTTGGCATGGGCCCTGCGGACACTCAGGCAAGTATGTTGCTGCTGTTGCCGTCGTGCAGAAAACCCGCCTCAGGACGTGGGCGGTCCGCCCGGGGTAGCAGCCGCGCCGAGAGTAGCTGCCGACTTGCCCTCCCTGGCAGTCGTTAAGGGGTTTGTGTCCCTCGAGCTCACCGGTCCGGATGCCCCCCGCGCCGTGGACACCGAGTACTACCAAAGGAAAATACGGGGTCGCGGGATTGGCCGAAAACCGCACGATGTGGTCGTCAAGCTTGACCAGGGAGCGGCCAGGCTCCAACCCACTTGGGATGGTGGTTCTCGCATTGATCGAACTGGCCTATTGGTACATTATAGCCGCGTTTTAGGCGTCACTGATCGAAGATTGCGGGAGGAGCTGGAGAGAGAAGGGTGCATCCATCTCTGTCGAGAACGCGACTGCTCCCACCCTGCCACTCTGCACTGCCGCTGCTACGCAGCCGTGGACTCTGAAGCCTTGGTCGACTTGGGAGCATATGGTCGATTCAGCGCTTGGAGGGCGAGCGTTCTTCTGGCCCGGTTAAGCCGCATGATCCTCCAAGGCTTGCTGTTCTGGGTTCGATGGGTTTGGAGAGGTAATGCCGCTCTTCGCCGACCTTTTGGTGCTGGATCAGGACCTCGTCAAATCCAGGAACGAGGGGTACTGAGGTGTTTGGACCCTGACTCCGAATCTGAGGCCGAGGTTTTGGAGGACCCGTGCCAGGCTGTGCAAGTAGGTTTGGAATTGCAAGGAGTAGTTAAAGCTTTAGCTGTAGAGGATTGCACCGACCGGGCTGCTGCCGAACCCACCCGCTTACTCGAGAGGGATTCGGAGCTTTCTGATTTGGGGGGTTCTCGCACTGCCCGATTGTGCAATCACCACAGCCAGCTCTACATGATGTCATGTCAAGGTCGGAAATGCAGTGTGCTGTCCTGCTATGGTGCGGTGCACGGAGCACATCGGGGCGCACCTCTTTGCAGAAAGCACCTAGCCGAGACCGCCCGTAGCCTTAGCCCCGCAAGCACTGGCCCTAGAACCCCTAAAAGTCAGAGTAAGGGCTCAGCTGAGATCACCTCAACACTAAGGATGGCGCAGCCGAAGGCAGAACCAAGAGCAGTGCGGTTCGAACCTCCAGACGAGGCCACAGGGGTTCCCCCTCAAAGTAGGGAACCTTCTCCTCGAGAAACTCGTGTTCTCTTCCGCATATCTGGAGCCTCTCACACCTCTTGAACAGCGAGTGGCGGTTCCCGCCGGAGAACCTGTTCTCCTCAGACTCCGGCCCACCTTCGGGTCGGGGACTACCCCTCTTTGGTACCTTTTCCCAGGCACCATCATGGGGGTTTCCCCCGACTCCCGCCGCAACGAACGCTTGCTGGTCGAAGCTCCTAGTCTGCAGTTGCAGTTTAGTGTCCCCGCTTCAAGTGTGGAAGACATCCCAGACCACAGAAAAAGGGGGGGAAAATTACCTCGGCGCTGGGTCGATGAGCACTTGCACCTCCCACCAATGGGAGGGGATGTCGGGGCTCGGGATATATGTCAGTCGTCTTCCACCTCATCTCAAGGAGTGGGCAGAGGCCTGGGACGGTGTGCGGTGCAGGCTAGGGGCAAACCCCCTTCAAGCCTTGCCAAGGAGCAGCGAGCCCACCTTACTTCCGATCCCGAGGCGTCCTTTATCCCGCATGAGGAGGGGAGAGTTTACCTTCTTTTTTCCGGGCACCGTGCGTTGCCCGAGCAGCCGGTTGAGGTCGATCTGCCGGACTCTAGGCAACGTCCAACCACTAAGGAGATCATCGACGTCTACCAGGCCTGAGCACACGCCGAAGAGGTGGCCTTGACCGCCTCCGCGCTGGACGTTTCTGAGCATGACCCTGCTTGAATGCCCACCTCCTCTTCCACCTCTAGTAGGGCCTCCGCCCGGTCTACCCCCATCTTTGCGTAAGGCCGACCCCTTCGGCCTCCAGCAAACGAGGCCAGCCGGCAATCCATTTCTCCATCCCAGGCAGCGGCTCCGACAAGCACAGACCTTATCCAAGCCACAGCACTACAGGAAGACGGGTGCCTCCTTTAGCGAAGCATTGGGGGCTTCCCCCGGTGGGGCTGTTACAGCCGATCGTCTCATTCGCGCGATCGACGGCCTTAGGAAGGCGCAGGACGAGGATAAGACTGGGACAAAAGGCGTGGTTTCCGCCCTAAAGGAGCCGGAGAAGCTGGATGTGTTTCTCGCACGAGGATGCGGCGAAACAAAGGTCGAGCTGTGCCCAGGGGTGTGTGGCAAGGAGTTGTTCCATGGGATCAAGCGGGCTGGTCATCACGCTAAGCATATGCTCCAGCTCATCCGATGGCCCGTGCTCATCAACAACCGGCTGGTTTGGTGATAGCAGGCCTTTGGTGGGGTGGCGAAGAGTCGTATACACTCCTGGCATCAGACTGTGCCACTGCCAAGGCCGAGCAAGTGGAAGCGTGGACGCCGCCGACAGAGCATAAGATCGAATCCCGCGCTCGCGCCCCGGCCGCTTTTCTCACATGGCTCAGGTGTGCGGAGAATGCCGTCAAGGTCTTTGGCTCCGCCTATGGCTTGGAGCACGTGCCGGAGCGGATGGCCTTTCTTTCCGCGCTCCGCGAAGCGAATGAAGAGGACGAGAACGCCTTTCCGGTCGGGTATTGCATAAAACTGTGCGAGGAGCTTAACGCAGTTTGGTGCGAGCAGATCCGCGAGTCCCGCAGAAGGCTGTGCGCGAAGTTGGGCACGGAGAACCCGCGTCTCGAGGACCTCAAGTTAGTTGCTTTGTCTCCAGGACTTGATGGGGCCCCCGCTTTCCAGTTCCCCCGTGTGTGGGATCTTCAAGATCCACAAGGGTGCTATCAGCAAGTCATCTTGCCTAGGCAGCAACGGGCGATGACCAGGGCGCCCAAACAAGACCGCCGGCACTGAGGATGCTGCCGAGGCGGCAGAGGCTGCCGACCCAAAGGCAGGCAAAGGCCCTAATCTCAGACTTAAGCGCAATGATCGAGAGGAGGTTCCCTCCGGCCCGACTGTTGAGGGTCCCGCCGACAAAACGGGAGAAGGCGCCCGTAAAGCCTACCCGGCCGGGAGACGACTCACTCCGCAAGAGGTCACCCGGTCGGAAGCATGCGCCCGTTGATCCCAAGAGTGGCAAACCCATTTGTTGGGATGCCGCTTGCCACATCGGATGCAATCGCTCGAGCTGCCCGAATGCGCACGAGCCTCTGCTTGCACTTAGCAAGCTCGACCCGACTGTCGCTATGCAGGTCCTGCGGAGAGGCGGACTCCGTGGTGAGAAGAAGGTCGATTGTAAGGATGTCGATGGACGGGTGGCACAGCTCCGCTCTCAGCTAAAGGACGACCAAACGAGTAAGCAAGCCGACGGCAAATCCGACAAGCCCGGCAAGTCTAAAGGCAAGGCCAAGGCCTCTGGGAAGGCCAAGGCCGGGTGGCAGCTACCTGAGGACTACTCAGGCCCAATGACGGCTATGGAAAAGGAGTTAGGCGAGATCGGGCTAGGCCCAGATCTGGCGTGGCACGAAGCTTACCGACCGGGTCAAGCGGTGGATACCACCCCTATCAAGGACCCTCGTGCGTTGCAGCGGGTGGAGATTTATAAGCAGCTCAAATCTGCAGGCACGCTCGATCCGGTCGCCCAGTGTGGCCCTCATTTGTATTGCCACGTCGTCTCTCGTTTGGTCAATGCCCAACAGGACCAAGAGCAGCTTTCCGTGCAGGACATCCTCACTCATGCAATCGATCATGGACACCCTCAACTGGCTCAGGAGGCCCAGGCTTGCTTTGACCAGAATGGGTATAAGGTAGGCCGTCAAAGCAAGATCCCAGTTTTCGAGGCACTCCTCGTCCCAGATCAGGAGCCTCTCAGTGGCCAGGGATACCAGCTCTTTACCTAAAGGCCTTTCTCTTCCTGAGGACCACCAGGACAAGCTACCGGCGAGTACACCGCCCCTCTTTCCCAAGGTCGAGGCTGATGAGCTCAGGCAATGCCTCTGTTTGCGCGTTGGGCGTGTTTTTGCAGAGGACGCTACGTCCACCCACTCTCTGGCATCTTCACTTCGTGCCGAGTTGTGGGAGGAAGCATCGGCTGCCCACGGCCATTTGGGGGATGTCCCCCCGATGATTAGTGAGGCCGAAGCTTTCGTTCGACATAACACACATGACTGCCTGGCGCCGCACCGCGAGAAAGATTACCGCGTCCTGCAGTTGTTTGCCCCGAAATTTATGAGTGGCCGGGCCCTCGTCATCTTTCGCGTGTCGTCTAGGGGACACCTTGAGGTCGACCTCCTCCGGGGTGGCGGCGCAGTTACTCGGTGGGGCCTGGTCGTCATCCATCGGGGCCACATGCGGGCCCTCCCGCTCCCGTCTTCTCGGGTACAAGAGTTGGTGGACCATTTCTCTTCGCTTGGACGAGTGGTTGATGTATGTGGCTGGGCCGCCTTTTTGGAGCAGGGCGAGGGCTTTGGCGTCATGATGCTGTCCAAGCAGCATCCCTGCTATCGCTGTCGCCTTCCCCAAACCCCCTGGCATCCTGCTGAGGTCCCAGAGCTGCCCTCCAGCCCTCTCCGGAATCGGGCTAGTTTTGCTCATGGCCCTGTGGGCCAGGAGGTCTTTGCAGACTGCCGGTTTGCGGCATCAGGGTTTTGCTTGTGCTGCGCCCGTGGAGTTGTACGCTGACCCCCTGATCATGCAGGGGGCCCGTCCTGAACACGTGCAGCGTCTTCGCGACTTGGCAAAGGCTGCTCCAGCCCCGGAGGTCCCAAACGTATGGCAGTTCGGGTCGCCTTGTACAACCTTCTGCGATTTCCAGCTCTTGAATCACGGCACTCGGAGTTTCTCCTCATTTTCTGGGGATGGCACCCGTGAGGACGAGCTGTTGGGCAACCGGTTCGCTGACTTGTCGGCCGAGCTTTGCGAAACGCTGTTTGCGCACCGGCGCGAGTTTGCGTTCGAGAGTAGCGCGCCGTCCGGACGTTATCCTAAAATCTGGGACCTGCCTAGCATGCGGCGTATGCGCCAGCGCACCGGTGCGCGCATTGTCCCAATGGACATGTGCGCCTGGTATCTTGGCGTTGAAGAAGGCACCCCGGGACATTTTCATCGCAAGCGCACCTGGTGGTTGGTTTCCCCGGGGCTTTATTCCTGGGCCCGTCTTTTTCTCTCACGGTCATGCCGGGCTCAGCGCTTCCCACGTTCATGTGGGCCTTAAGGGTCCCTCTCCTTCAGTACCAGGGTCCCTCGGACGCGCGTGGCTCAGCAATACAGTGTGGCTCTTTGTGCGGCCTGGGGCCTGCTTGTCCGCGCTGCTTACGAGCACTGGGACTGGCGCAGTACTTTGGCCGGTCAAAACGTCCTCACTGCAATCGATGCCTTTGTGGCCTCGTCCGCGCGTGCCGTGCCTGGATTCGTGCCAGCCGTGGCGTGCTTTCCTTCCTCCTCCCACTCGGGGGGGGGGGTTGCTGGTGGCATACCACAAAATCTGGCCGTTCCGGGTCAAGATAACCCGGAACCCGGATCCGGCCTCAGAAGAAGCCGCGAATGGTCGTGCAGGCATATGCACTGAGGTCCCTCCGGCCTCTCCCACCGCTGACTCTGCCGACACGGTCGCAGGAGCCGGGGCTTCAGATGGAGCAAACAACACTGCACGGCAGTACCTTGAAGCATGCAGGGTAGAGACTACTCCCCCAAGGCTGTCAAGCATGCGGTTGGCTTGGGCCGGCTCAGTTGAGAAGGCGGCCTGTGTCCTTAACCAGGAACGAGTGGCCTTTTTGGGGAACCACCTCTCCTTCACGGAAGATGTCATTGGTATCAGCGACCTCCACAAGGCCTACCTGATTGGCACAGCAAGGGGTCCCGCCGACGAGAGGCCGCTCAGGAAACTGGCCAAGGCCACGAGGACGTAATGATGCAGAAAGCCTGGAAGGACGCCGCCTATGGAGCAGCTTTGATGGTTGACCCTGAGATCCCGCAAATTGAGACGGTGTTAACACAGTCAGGGGTGGCTGAATCCCCCCTGGGACGGGTGCCCAAGCAGAATCCGGATCGGACCGTCTCAGCCGAAGGGCGCCCGATCAACGGTATGCGCAGGCGAAACGAGCACGGCTCCAAGTTCAACCATCCTCCAGCTCCCCAGCCTCGTCATCCCGGTGTAGCCAGGCAAGCCCTCTGGTGGAACGCTCGGCGCCCGGGATTCCCCTACGGTGCGCAAAGAGGGATGTTGCTCCAAAAAAACTCGGGCCTTTAAATGGCATTTCCTAGCGCCCAAGGACGTGCCAGAGTTTGCCGTCCGGCTTCTCCCAGTGGTGATCATAAGCCTTGTCATGCCCTTCGGGTGGGTTGGTGCGCCGGGAGAGTTCGTAGCGTGGAGCGCGGCCGCGAAAGCCCATCATGGAAGTTTCCACCCCCCTGACCCTTGGTTCAACCACGTTGTGAGCTACGAGTCCAAGTGGCTCATGGACGATGGGGTTGTCCTGGAGCCCTTAGTTGGCAATCGAGTGTTCCACTCCTTAGCGTGCTTGGACCGTACTATGATTGCAGTCTGGGGCCCAGAGGGGGTGAACGTAGAAAAGATGGCGGAAGAAGGAGAGCCCTCCGGCTGTCAGCTCCTTTGGGGGCTCTATATGGACTTCGACCAGAAAATCATAAGTTTGCCGGAGCCTAAGCGGATGAAGGCGAAATACCTTCTGGCCGAACCGGCCTTGAGCCGAGGCCACAAGGGGATCCCCCTTCGCCTCCTGCAGGAGGTCGCTGGGTGTGCGCAATACTGGTGGATAGTGTGCCCTGGGCTTCTCCCTCGTCTTCCAGCGCTCTACCATCCCATGAAAGGGCAGGGAGGCCACGGCTCGGTAGACACGAGCGCCCCGGGGGAGGGCAGACCCTCAGATGAACGAGGGGGACTGGGAAGATTTCTGGCAAACGCTGGATTTTATTCGGCTCCAGCTCGAAAGACCGCACCAGTTTTAAAGCTTCGTTTGACAAACTTCTACCCTTCCGGGAGAGGCTTGCCCTTCCGGGCGTTGCGGACAAACTCCGGGTTCTGGGAGGCGATGCGACCCTCAATCGATTCGGCAGCCTCGACTGGAAAGACCGCAAATTTGCCTCAGAGGACGCCTCCCCCTACTTAGCTCAACTGGTGGCAAGACTCCCCAACGCTGAGCACGGGGAGATCATCTCCATAGTTGAACTCATGGCCTTCGTCGCCTGTAAAGTCCATGTGGTAGACGATGCTCGTGTAGAGACAGTGCCTGTCTGAAGCTGTTGCGTGAAGCAACTGATGCGCTTAAGGAGTGTGCTTATGGGAGAACGGGCGAAAGTCAAAAGTTGTTGCGTGGAGCAACTGGTGTGCACAAAAGTTGTGCTTAGAGGGGGCGCCGCTACACGGCGTGCTGGTAGGCAGGTGGGGTTGAGGTCACAACAGAAGTGGCCCTAACCGCAGCAATCATGTATCTTTGGATTTGCTGGGTAAGTGCACGGGACATGCCAGCAGTTGCTACGCCAAAGCGTGTGAGCACTTCTGGCAGCCGGGTTGCAT